TTCCTCCCTCCTCCTTCAACCCCCCACCCTCCCCCCCACCCTTTCTACACCGCAACCCCCAGACATGGCTGGTCCTGACCTAAGGGGAACCTCCCTCCTCCCCCCCCACCCTAATTCCCCCTAAAAATTTGTTAAAACACCCCTGTAAAAACCTTCTTAATTTGCATAATTTCAACGATTTTTTGTCCCTGGCCCCTGCATGCCTCCTCTCGGGGTTCCTTGTCCCGTCAGCTCTAGTTTAATTAGTTGTTATGTATGGTTGGGAGATATTTTTTTGCCAGGTTATTTTTAAATGGCATTAATATTGTTTCTTTGTTACAGTAGTTTTCTTCAACAAAGTAAAAAGTAGCATCTTTACAAAAAACAAGTGCCTGCATTTTCAGTTAATTGAGTTTTAAACTTTTAAACCTTTTAAATTAGAGATAGGCAATTTCAGTCTACACAAAAAAAACCTGAAGATTGGATGGCTGATCAGTTCAATCTTCATCATTTTTTTCATAGCTGAAAAGCAAAGACAGGCTTTCCTGTTTTTTCCATTCCCAAATACTTAATATCGTATGAATTTAGTTACTCCAAATAAAAGTACTCTTTTTATACCAAGGTATTGCTGTTAAAGTTTGGGCATTTTCTACTATAATTTTCTTTAAAGGTTTAATTTTTTTCCCCATGGCTCTGAAATTTGAAGAATGTTTCTAAAAAGTGCAACTGGTATGAAACACAACAGCCTGATACCTGGCAAGCATAACTTGCCAAGAGCATGTTACACCTGGATTTCAGTGCCCTACATTAGTCACCACTTGGTTTCTGGATATAATACATAGTGATGATTTTCACTTATAAAGGCATATCTGGCTTGACACCTGGATACTTACAAGACCTGCTTCTCCTACCAGAACACCCTGTTCATTATATTCATCCCAGAAAGTTGACTGTTGTACATGATTTCTACAAACTGAAAGGAACTGAAGCCACAAAGTGCTGATTTTCCATTGTAGCCCCCATCCTGTGGAATAGTTTCCTCTTAAAATTAAAGTTTAACTGTTAAATTTGTTCCGTTTATAATGCCATTGTCCTACACTTTTATTATGATCTACATATAGGTCTCAACTTTTACAACCATTTGGTTAGTAGACGTTCGAAGTTACAACAGCATTGAAAAAAGCGACTTACAACCATTTTTCACTTATGACCTTTGCAGCATCCCCATGGTCATGTGATCAGAATTTGGATGCTTGGCAACTGGCATGTATTTATGAAGGTTGCGGTGTCCTGAGGTCATGTGATCACCTTTGAAACCTTCTGGCAAGTGAAGTCAACGGGGAAGCCAGATTCACTTACCAACCATGTTACTAACTTAACAACTGCAGTGGTTCACTTAACAATGGTGGCAAGAAAGGTCATAAAATGAGGCAAAACTCACTTAACAACTGTCTTGCTTATGAATAGAAATGTTGGGCTCCATTATGGTTGGAAGTCAAGGACTACCTCTATTATTTACATATAGTGCCTATTTTTTTTGTTGATTGTTTCTGTAAACTACCCTGAGTCTGTAACTGATAAGGCAGTACATCAATGGAAAAAAAAGATAGATAAAATATTTGACATTATTTGAAGGATGATTGTTAATAGGCCCGTTTAAAGCTAACCCCTGTTCTTTAGCAGGTAAGAATTCGCCGTGATATTGATCATTTAACTGAGAAGGTTGGCAAAAAAAAAGGGCGGGAGACAAGGTTTGCTAAATTTATTTTGTAGTGTTTGTAGTATAATTTGTGTTGTTTGTCTTTTTGAGGATGTACTCATTTTCTCCCAAATTTCAACAGCATCAGAACTAAAATAGTTATTTTTCTGTAAATTGTTTAGGCCACTGAAATAGGCTTTAGGATAGTTATCAGATATGCAAGTTTTGATCTCACGTTGGTAATTGTTTTATAATAATTCTATCTTCTATTTCTTCATGATTTAATTGCAAATTACTAACAAATTGGTTCTTGATATAGCACTCCAAACAGTTCATGGATATATGCTGTTAAACATTTTGTAAGATTGATTAGAATGAATTGCTTTCTTCACAACCACTCCAAAATATTACCAAAATGAATAGAAGATGCATTACATGAGCATTTCAGTTATATGCTGTTAGAATGTGGATTTCCTTGCTTTTTTCTAATGATATTAATTAATTATAAAGACTCATAAAATGGACAATATTCTGTTCTCTTTCAACATAATTTATTAACAAAATTCAGAATATCTTGCTCTCTGTGGAGGTGGTGTGGCTAAGAATTTGGGATTTTCTTTCATGTTATGGCTCATTTGCGGGAAAGAAATGCAAGTATTAGAAGAATGCACAGTCTTGTAGGGAAGAGGTATTAATTAGGTTCCCAGGTATTAATTAGGTTATGAGTGAAAATTTAGATGAAAATTAATTGATAGCATTTAAAATCCCCTTTTTGTTTTTTACTTTTGCTTTGAAAGAATAATATGGATACCCTCCTGTTTCTGGAAAATCTTAAAAAAATTGCAAATTTCTGCGCAGAGTTTAGAATGATTGAGTTAGGTGATACTTAATTCCCTATTTTTTTGTGTTATATCAGAGTAGTTAATGTACTTACCTGAGATTGTAAGAATATTTGTTATGGTTCAGGATGAATATGACAAATGTCATAACTAAAAATACTTTAATCAATTTATATTGGCTTTACTATTTTTTTTTGCTACTTTTGCCTTATGCGAATCTGCTAGATACTTGGAGGAAAAAATGTGAACTTTGTAATGAATAGCATGATTTCATATCCAGATTTAAAAGAACTAGGATCAACTTCCTGTTGTCTGAGTAGAGAAACAGGACATTGCGCTGGTGCTTAGTGATAATGGCATGGTCAAAAAGGATCTGGAACTTTATTTTCCTTTTGTGAAGAGGATGTAATGAAATGAATGAAATGTAATGAAAAAAGATGGTCTCCTACAAAATGAGTTCATGATAGATGTTTGGGTGCCAGCACTGTTGGAATGATCCAGACGTCATGGAATGCCAGAACCCTCTATGCTTTTCAATTTTTTTTTAAATCAGTGATGCAGATGTTGGAGTTGTTGGGGAGCCTTATAAAATGTACAGATGAACAAGCCTTGAAAAGTGGCTGATAGTTTAGGTGAAAGTGAGAAGATTCAAAAATATGTAGACAGGCTTCAGCTGTGTGTCTGAAATAAATGGGATGGAATTTAAAGTTTTCATAATCTGAAATAATCTCATTAACTGGAAATGGGTCGGCTGAAAACACAGCAATAAATTTATTGATTTATTCATTCAGTTTCTATGACCCCACTCCCCATGACCACAAGTGACTCTGGATAGTGAAAAAAGTTAAAAAATAAAGTAAAATCTATACAATAATACAAAAATTAAAATACATAGCATCAGAGAAAATACCATACGTTATCATTATTAAATTATTTAATTATCATTAATTAAAAAAACAGGTTCCTACACACATTGGGGACCAGCCCCAGATATAGAATCAAGTCTTTAAAGACTTACAAAAACCCAGCAGGGTCAGGGCCAACCTGATCTACAGCAGGAGTATATTTTCTAATTAAATCCCATTGAATGTTACAGGAATTGCTTCTGAGTAAACATGACAATATATCAGATGGTGTCTATCTGGGAGTGAAATGATGTCCATCAGCAGATTTGATTCCCAATTTTCATCCAGTGCCCTTCAAAATCTGTGCCAGAATACATAAGAGGTAGAATTGAAAAGGTGCAGAAGTGAAGATGATAAGAAAGATATGTTTTGTTGCGCAATCAGAAGTTGAATAATTTTATTTTTTGATAGCCTAAAGTATATATAATATGAACTATAGTGAGTGAAATGCAGAATAAACAATACTATGTAAAATATAAGAAAATGAATACCATTCTAAAAGATTTGCTCATAAAATACGGATAAACATCATATGCAAATGGGAAGCTTTTGTGTTTGGCATCTCATGATTCTATATATGTTCATATATTCATGGGTTAAGGAAAGGTGACATTTCTAAAATAATCTTCCTTTGTTTCCCCCCCCCCTTTTTTTTTCTTTTTTTCTAGGATGGTTTAAATTCCTTAGTCCTTGATCTGGATTATCCAGCACTGAGGAAGAACAAAAACATAGATAATTTCCTTAACAGATGTAAGTTTTTCTTATGTATAATATCCCTATGTAGATGAAGAATATTATATTTATTTCCCTATATAGATGAAGAGAATACATACATACATACATACATACATACATACATACATGTCTTTGGTTATTCGGGTTTTCTCCCGCGTAAAATTGGAAGTGTCTTGGCGACGTTTCGACGAAGTCCCATTCGTCATCTTCAGGCTGGTGTCTTCAGCTTCGTGCTTCATTGCTCCTAGAAGCACGAAGCCGAAAACACCAGCCTGAAGATGACGAATGGGACTTCGTCGAAACGTCGCCAAGACACTTCCAATTATCAACAAAATGGGAAAACCATTTGGTGTAGTAGTTAAAGGTATGCTAGAAATCAGGAGATTGTGAATTCTGGTCTTGCCTCAGGCACAAAGCCAGCTGGGTGACTTTGGGCCATCACACACAATCAGCTCTGAAAAACATGCAGTGACAAACCACTTCTGAAAGGTAATCTTGCCAAGAAAGCTGCATGGACTTGTCCAGGCAGTTGCCAGGAGTCAAGACTAATCTGAAGAAGGGGGAGGAAAATCCGAAATAGTATGATTTGATTTCAAGGGTCAATGATAAAAAAGTTAAAATATGATTTTTTAAGGTACAGTACTTTAACTTTTCTTACAAGCTAAATTTCATAGTTAAAGTGTCCCTGATTTTAGTGCGTAAAATTACTAACCAATGCTGTTTTAATGAGTATGGTTTTATTTTGTTTTGCTATTTTACTTACAACCATTCATTTAATGACCATTTGGAGTTACAACGGCACTGAAAACCGTAACATGACCAATTTTCACACTTATGACTGTTGCAGCATTCCTACAGTCACACGATCAGACTTTGGGTGTTTAGCGACTGGCGTGTATTTATGACAGTTGCAGCGCTCTGAGGTTCTGGGATTGTCATTTGCAACCTTCATAGGGAGCTTCTGACAAGCAAAGTCAATGGGGGAAGCTAGGTTTGCTTAACCACCATATGATTCACTTCACAGCTTCATATTCATTTAATAATACTGTCAAAAAAAGGTTGCAAAATGGGGCACGACTCACTTAACTGTCTTGCTTAACAAAATAAATCTTGGGGTCAGTTGTGGTCATAAGTTGAGGGCTACCTGTATTTATGGATTTAAGACCTGTGTTTTCTTATTTTATAAAGGTAAATACTTTGCACTGTACCTTTTAAAAGGATCTGTTTTCTTTGTGCATTGCACTGAAAATACAACCTGACACTGCAGATTAAATGGCCCATGCCATTTGTAATTACTAGTCTTAAATTTCTGTATTGTTAGTGGCTTAATGTGTATTATCTTTCGTGAATATTTTAATAGCACAAATATTTCTCTTTAAACTTTTTCAGATGAAAAAATTGTACAAAAAATTCGTGATCTTCAAATGAAAGTGGAAGATTATGATGTTGTTAAAGTGATTGGAAGAGGTGCATTTGGTGAAGTACAGCTGGTAAGAATGTAATATCAACATAAAGCTACTGGGTTTCCATTAATTTTCTTAAGAATAATGTTTTTTTTTATGACCACACTGTTTCATATTAGCTTGGTGCAGGTTCCTTGGGGTAGTGGGTAATCTCAGAATAATTTAATTAAAGTTATGAATACATAAAGTAAATTAAAATATAGGCAAATATAAATAATGTGCATTGGAACAGAAGTGCATATTTAATTTGTACTGATACGTATGAACTAATTATGGATTACCATTGGGTTAACAGAAAGGTTTGTGAAGGTTACAGAATAGTGAATGGGCATTTTTTAAAAAAGAAAGAAAACACATTTCTAGATAATTAGAGAGGCAGATAAAAGAAAGTATGGCTTCATGCTGTGCATTGACATAGAATCCATTACAAAATTTAAGAATGGCCAACAAACTTGCTGTATTAGATAAATTGTGGGATGATTAGGGAATTAGTGGTCTCTTGTCATGATGACTGCATATTATCTCCAGTAATGGACGCTTTGGTTTATTGAATCCCGTTATGAGAGAGTATTGGTGTGTTTGTGTGATTCTGTTTTGTTTTGCAGTTTCTGTTGGCGTTTTGTTGACTATTCTGGAAAAACACTATTGGACAAGAGAAGACTGGTCAAATTCAGCAAGGCTCTTTTATATTTTTATATAGAAGATTGGCAAATCATAGTGATATTATTAGACATAGCAGGTTTTTGAGATATAAATACTACACAGTTATTGCCAGAATTCTTCAGAATGAACCACATGCTTTAATCATGGGTCTGAAAGATGCATATGTATTGAAGCTGTTTTGAAGCTTTAATTAAATTGGTCATAGAAAAGAGCCAAATTCTGACTATTAGCATCAGAAGTGTTTCTGTTCTAAAGATGGTGCCAACACAGTTGGTGCTTATGAATTATAAATGTTATATATATGCAATACAGACGGGTGTGAAACATTTCAGTGGTTCTATAATAAATGGCTTGAAGAATGGGATTTTTTCTAGAATGTCTTTTTGTCTCTCATCTTTTCTTCATCTTATGGAGGCATAGAAGGAATTGGCACGAAAACAATTTTTGTTTTTGTGCCAATTAGATGCTAGATCTGTCCTCAACTTCTTGATGATGGTACCAACACTGATTATCCATCATGGACATTTATTTTGTTTTGTAATAACTGCTTTTTTAAAAGAAATAGGGTGTGTGTGTGTGTGTGTGTGTGTGTGTGTGTGTATGGCTGATCCTCCTGTAAAAGTGGAGTCCCTTTGGCTGATGATTTAATCATACTTTCTTTCTAAAAGTTCTACCCTTCAGGTTTCTGGTCTCTTAATTCTATTTCTTGAAAGCTGTTGACTTTCAGCATCCAGATAAGCTTAGAGAACCGTTCTTTGGTATTTATTATTGGTTCTCCATATCCAACTTTCTGTATTATTTTAAATTCTGCTGTAAAATAACTTACTACTTTTTTAACAGGTTCGCCATAAAATAACGCAGAAAGCCTATGCCATGAAGCTGCTAAGTAAATTTGAGATGCTCAAAAGGTCAGATTCAGCTTTCTTCTGGGAAGAGAGAGATATAATGGCCTTTGCCAACAGTCCATGGGTAGTTCAGGTATGAATATTTCTTGTGTACAAACTTTGGTGGTAATTTAAGGGAAATGTAAATAAATGGGGAAAATATAAATAAGCGAAATAGCAATTTTTATGTTTTGATACCTGATGTCTATGGAGATTTTCAGCCATCCATGTCATAGTTATCCCAAAGATGCTTTTTCACGAGGCAACTGGACTTTCTTGTTTTTCTTTGAAGACGTTTTGCTTCTCACCCAAGAAGCTTCGTCAGCTCTGACTGGATGGTGGGGAATAGAAAGATTTAGACAGCATTTGATACCTGATGACTTTAGAATTTGGTATAAATAGGTAGTATGCTGTTTATATAATTCCTTGATTTTAAATGCATACATTTCTGTACACTAGACAATCCTTCCATTGAAGGTAGTCCTCAGCTTACAACAGTTCATTTAGTGACTGTTCAAAGTTACAATGGCACTGAAAAAGTGACTTATGACTGTTTTCACACTTAGGCCTGTTGCAGCATCTCCATGGTCATCTGATCAAAATCCAGATGTTTGGCAACTGACTCATATTTATTAGTTTCAGTGTCCTGGAGTCTTTTGTAACCTTCTGACAAGTAAAGTCAATTGGGAAGTGACATTTTTACTTAGGAAAGTAGAAAATAAGGCTTGGGACAAGCAGAAATCTAACATTTTTGCTATATACAAGAATCTTGTATTACAACATAATGCTGAAAGCCATAATTATAATATGGTTTCTTATCTACTGTGTTTCCCTGAAAATAAGACCTGGTCTTATACTTTTTTTTGCCTCCAAAAGAGGCACCAGGTTTTATTTTCGGGGGATGTCTTACCTGTTTACCTTGAGATCGCTGTAGCCAGGCCTCCCACGCCCCAACATCTGCCTCGTCTCAACGGCCCACTTCTTCTGCAGCTGCTCGCTGCCGCTCACATGCATTGCCCCCGGGCTCTGTTTTGCCATTAAAGGCCTTCAGGAAGGGCCTCTGACAGTAAAATGGAGGCCAGGGGGCATCGCGCATATCAATCCGGAGCTCATTTCTTGGCTGCAGAGGCCTTTCCGAAGGACTCTGATGGTCGGGGCGTGGGAGGCCAGCTGCAACTGTCCCTAAAGTAAGTGGGTGCAGGTTGTGTGGTACAGCTCCCCCCCATCCCCACCCTAACTTGATTTTTACCCGTGTGCCTTGCCCCACCTTGTGCAATCAGGTGCAATGGAGTGGGCGGGGTCTTAAGTAGAGCTTATTTTTGGGATAGGGCTAATATTGGGCGCATGTGTAAAAAGCAAGCTGGGGGTTATTTTTCGGGTAGGTCTTATTTTCGGAGAAACGCGGTAATAATTCTCTAAATGGCTGTCACCTTCCACCCTATGCAATGATAGATGTAGTTATTGCTTTACATAGAGCAGACATGTCAAACTCGCGACGTCATGTGACGTCGCGCAACGTATCGGGCCGGTTTTGCCATTGCCGGCAATGGGATGGGCACGGCTTCCATGTGACGCGTCCGGCCCGTTGGCCGGCAGTTTGACACCCCTGACATAGAGGGAAGAAACTTGTTGATAATGCTATACTGAAATGTTTAATGGCACATAAAACCTTTATTTCATTGAACTAAACTAAACTAAATTATTTTGGAACTCTTATAACAGTGGGCATACCTTATTAAAACTGTTTTTTTAGAAGCTTAAGGAGAAAAGCTTAAAATTCAGTGTGTGTATTTGGCTGAATGTTTAACACGTTGGCAGTCTTTAGAATTGTTCTTTCTTTTGGAAACAGCTTTTTAGTGCCTTTCAAGATGACCGATACCTATACATGGTAATGGAATACATGCCAGGTGGTGATCTTGTCAACCTCATGAGCAATTATGATGTGCCTGAGAAGTGGGCCAAATTTTACACAGCTGAAGTGGTCCTTGCTCTCGATGCAATTCATTCCATGGGCTTGATACACAGAGATGTGAAACCTGATAACATGCTTTTGGATAAATACGGACATCTGAAGCTTGCAGATTTTGGTACTTGTATGAAAATGGATGACGTAAGTATCTGGGTCATTGTGTCTGTTTCAAAAACAGTGTGTACCATCCAAAGAACCTCATTGTAATTGGGCAGCAAATGAATATTAGTGAAAGGATTTTAATTATGTCATGGTTAATATTGAACATAGCGTAATGGTTGAGATATTTACTGTGAAGATTTGTGAATCACTGCTTACTATTGTCATGAATTAACTTGGTTTCTTCAACCAAGCAACTGTTTCTTAGCTGTTGCCTTCTATGTGTAGTAAGTAAATTAAACTTCTCTATTTTAAAATTATACTTTTCTGTTTCTTGTCTCTAATACGTGATGTGTTTTTGGGATTGGTTTAAGGTACTTGCTCAGTATTCCATTTGCTTGTTTGTTTGTTTTGTTTTGTTTTGTAAAATTGAGATTGAACTGCTGGTTTGGAATAGCATTCTGCACTGCAAATCGATTCAGTCTCACACCTGCTCTCGAGAGATTGGAAAATTTGAAGTGTATTATAATGTAATCGTCTATTTTGAAAACTAAAAGAGAAGTGAAGTTGATGGGCAGATGTATAAAGTTGATGAGTTAGGTCATAGTTCTGTGGTTCACGTTTATAAAACCAAAGAGCCAGTTTGGCCTAGTGATGAAGAAGACAGGAGATGGAGAGTTATAGTTTTGCCTTAGGCATGAAAAACTAGCTGGATGAATTTGGGCCAGTCACTCTCTCTCTCAGGCCAAGCTGCCTTCCAGGTTTGTTTTTGTGGGTTGAATAGGAAGAGCAAAGAAGTATTAGGCATGTTCCCTGCCTTAAGTTATTTATAAGAACAATAAAGGCAGGATTACAAAATGTAAAAAAGTAAAGGTAATAGAGATGTAATCCTAATCTGTTGAAGGAAGGCGGATGTTGCTGTGCTCTAGTGTACCATGCTGTAAAGTTCTAACTGTGTTATGCCGTCAGTATTGATTGTAAGGAAAGGTTTATCAAATACTCTGCTTTCTTTTATTACTAGTTTTCAGAATACCCTAAAGAATAATGACATTGAGAAGAGGCAGTATTTCTGTGATGATGTAGTGATCGCACATAACACTACTTCTCACTTAGGTTTCTTTCAGAATTGTTTGATCTGTAGCTGTTTTTCAGGCTTTCCTTATTTTCAGAAGGAACCTGTCAAATGTAAGGAGTTCTACAGTATAGTGAGATGGAAGCAGGAGGAGGGGGAGAATACACAAAAAATTATATGTAGTCCTTGAAACCATAGTTTATGCTCCTTACTGAATAAGTTTTCTGTTTAGGATTGCCAACACATTGAAATGGTTTGAAATGATTAATTCTAGTGATTAAAAAATTATATTCAGAGCCAATGTGGTCTAGTAATTAACATCTTAGTCTAGATGTGTTAGACACAGAGGTGTCAAACTGCCGGCCCGTGGGCTGGACGCATCACCAGGAAACCGCACGCACCCCATTGCCGGCAATGAGGAAAAAGTTCCGATACGTCGCGCGACATCACATGACGTCGCAAGTTTGACATGTCTGTGTTAGAGTGATGCAGGTTGCAATGTCTAGTCACCCATAAAATTAGGGGATAACTGAAGGCAGTCATTCTCTTCCATACAAACTTACCTCAGAGTGTAGTGAGGATGAATTATTTGGCAGCTGGTAGAATAGAAATGTTGTTTATATCCGCCACTCCATATATGTGGAAAAATATATTCATATTACATATATATTTCTATTCATGGAAAAAAACACCGATGGATAGTTTGCCGGCATTTGGATGAGTTGTAGAGTCTCTGCCTTCTAAATTGTTTGTGGCAGCAGCAGTCTCTTCTTTTTTTCTTCCATTCCGCCCCATTTTTTCTTCTGCCCACTTTCCTTAGTTGTATTAATACAATTGGCCAGGCAGTGAGACTTTTAAATGTATTCCTACAAGAACACAAATCAGGGTGAGTTTAGAGAAGCTGCTAGGATGATAAAGCTAAGATGACATTCAGTGTGGAGCTGAAGTGGAATTCTCTATCTTTTTAGATTCGGTTCAATTTTATTAGTTCCACATTTAGGAACATTTAACATGAGAGCCTCACCAGTTAATTTAGGACTACCATATTTGGACTGCAAAATGTAGCAAGAGTACTAGCTGTCACAAAAAGATACAAACCATTTTAGTGGTAGCTAAATTTTTGTAGCACTAATGAATTAGAATAGTATTTTGATTGAATCGTTATGAATATGATTTTTTCCTTTTAAATATTTATTTACTCTCCAATACTAAGTCATAGAATTTAAAAAAAAATGCAGCATTCTATTTATTTGAGGATCCCTATAAAGTTAAAACTGCCTACAAGGGTCCTGATGGTTCCTATAAGCTAAAGCTACAAATAGAAATTTTACTATTGCCTTCAAAACACCTGGGTATTGGGTTATTTAGTAAGAATATCTTAATCTCATCATGTGGAGTTTATCAAACTAAAGAGTGGGTGCATTAACTCTAAATCAATAGTTTGTGTACTGTGGACACTTTAAAAGGATTGATACACACATCATTTCCCCATGCTCATGTCCATGCTCAGGCCCAGTTGTATTTTACAGGCAGCAATAACTTAAGACAGGGGTTCCCAGCCCTCGGTCTGTGGACTGGCACTGGGCCATGGCATGCCTGCAACCAGCATGCGCAAACAAGCGAAACCCTGATCTGCAGGATGGAGGCAGCACGGGAAACCACGCCTCCTCCGGTCCGTGGAAAATCTTTTCTCCACAGAACCGGTCCTTGGTACCCAAAAGATTGGGGGCCGCTGACTTAAGGGAAACAGTTATTGCTGCTCATGATGATTAAAGCAACAATAACACATTTCTCATATAGAGCAAACTCTCACCTGTAAATAAGAGAAATTCTTTTTTGTTACTAGGCCAGAATCCCAAATTTATCAGCTCATTGAGCCCTTATATGAAAATAATGTAACAAATATTTTAACAACTAGCAGTAAAATAATAACAGAGATCATTCAAAGCTTTCTAATAGCTGAAAAACAATTAACAATTGCTAAAGATGATAAGAAAAGGAAGTTCGAGCAAGTTGGCTATTCCCTTGTCTCCAGAGCTCTTAAATTCATCTAAAATGGGCAGTTGCCATAGGATGAGCAGCTGTCTGAAGTACTTATGGGTGATTTCAGGTCCTTTCCTTACTGAGAGAGGAATTATCGAAGAGCTGGTCTATTTGATAGCTCTTTATTCCTCTGTGGTTATCTGCTCTGCTTTTCAGAATTCTCTTCAATCCGTGATTTCTTCCTGTGGAATGGATATGATTTTTTTATCAAGGTTCTTACATGTATGTGTGGAAGAACAACAGGTTGAGAAAGGATATTGAAAAATATACATAGAGCTGATTTCAATATTTTAAAAATCTCTTTCATAAATGCTTGTTGATTAATAAAAGCAGTATCTACCATGTATTTCCTACTCAGAAGCAGCCCTTAGCATCCCCTAGTGGCTTTTCGGTTTATTTTAAAATTAACCAAATAGGTCTTTTTGGAATAAAAAAAAATTCTTTTTATGGTAGAGTAGAATATGTAAGTTTTGATTTGTAGATATCATTGTTCTAAAGCAATCAGGGAACTTTATACAATGGGTGGGTTTTTCTTTCCCTTTTTTGCTTTTATAAATTATTAAAATATTTAATCATGCCATTTTTGGAAAAAAAAATTGAACAGACATAAACTTGGAAAGGCTTAACAGATCTAAAAATATGAACACCTCCCCCCTCCAAATCAGCAGAAATCCCATCCTTTGGGCTTTGTGTATATCTAGGTTGCCAGAAATATGTCTATCAACTGTGAAAACATTTCCTGTCCTATGAGAGAATGCATTAAATTTTAATCTCCCATAATTCTTTGTGTATAATGTTCAGTTGGGTGAAATTGTGCATTGTAGAGCAGCCCTGTGGAATAAAACATTTCACACAGTAAAATTTTATAAAACATGACATAAAATGTCACATTGGAAAATGCCATAAAACATTTTCTGTGGTCAACTCCTGATGTTTGACTGCACAAACATTTCAACATGGACTACTTTCAAGGCAAATGCACCACTGAATATTTCCATGAATTTTTTTGAAGTACTTTTCTAGTACATTAAAATATCTGCCATTGTTGAAGGCATTGAGGAATCTGGGAAGGAAAGCTCTCTGAAACAATGACTCAGTGAGTAATAGGTTGTTTAATCTCCAATAAACGCTTCAAACATTTTATATATTTAATAGTTCTTTATCACTGACCTTGTTAAAAGGAAGTTATGATTCCACAGATCAGAGAACAGTATGCATGCATTAAAATTTCGGAGGAAAAATATTTTTATACTGATTTTGAAATGAACTAAGTACAGTACATAAAAACATCATGACTAGTACAGCTACTGGTTTATTAAAAAAAATACTGCTAAAGCAGGTTGAAAATAATAGATAAGGATACTTGTACATTGGACAGTTAATTGGTTAGTCCTAATTAGAGAAGATCCTCTTTCTGCAAGCTTATTTTAAACTTTTGAACTAAATTATGGTTAACGTATTGATAGAAATATAAGCAGTCCCTCTGCCTCTAATAGAATACATTATACCATTTCCTTTGGCTCAGGCTGTTCCATGAGACAGTTCTAGGTGAAAAGTAAAACATACAGAATTGACACTTGTTTAGACTTGGACTTCATTCTTCCATTGAAAAACTAACAATATGTGTGTGTGTGTGTGTATGCAAATGAGTAAACTTGTTTCATTTAAAGTACAACTTCTTGTCACCTGAGCCTTTCTTTGTCTTACCCGTACAATTCTTTTGTTGTATCCCTTTCATGGCCAACTATTAAAGCTTCATATTTTCCTAAAATACTTTTCGCAGAGCCCCAAATACATACAAGGCTGCTATGATAAGTTTTGATTATAATCATAATAATAATTCTTTCCAGGTTTTTCACTAGACTCTTCTAAACACTATGGTAAAATGATGCAGAATCTTACCTCTCTTCCCAGATAGGCCTCCCTC